TATATATATATATATATATATATAGAATTTCAGTGTAATAGATTTTTTTTTCAGTAAATGATTTTAGTTTTGTTTATAATTTTCTCTAATGAGTCTGACGCTTTTTATTTGGCTTTAAGGTAAAGGAAATCCAAAATCCAGAGTCTCAAAATTAGATTTAAAAAAAAGTTTTTCGGATATTTTATATTTACTTGCTTTTAAGGGTTTGTTTACTTCTTGATAGATTTCTGTTGGTCACACGTGTGTTTATTATTTTCTCTTACTCCACAGATGTATCTGCTTAGTTTTCTCCCATTATAGGGACAGTTTATCTGTAATAAATTGGCTGAAAGAAATTCAGATTTTATACCGTATATAGGTAATATAACTAAAGATAGGAGTGTTTTTTTTCCTGTAGAGTTAAATTTGAAAAACAATAATGTTTTAAATACAACTTTAAAATAAATGGTCTAGTTTCAATCCACGATGTCCAAATAATAAAAATGATCCAACACTTCTTTTGTTCATTTACAGATTAGCTCAGGCCTTTTTGCTCTTGTATAAATCTAGATTTTTTTGTTATAAAATGTCACTCAGGCTCCTCGTTTTCTGTTCGCTTTTAGGCAACGAAACGAGTCCAGAGAGTTTCCTTTTGCACAACGCGCTGGCCAGAAAGCCCAAACGAATCCGGACAGCTTTTTCTCCATCGCAGCTCCTGCGGCTCGAACACGCGTTCGAGAAAAACCATTATGTGGTTGGAGCGGAGAGGAAGCAGCTCGCACACAGCCTTAGCCTCACAGAAACTCAGGTAAGAAAGAAAGAAAAATGCTTAATGTGATGAACTCCGCCATGATTTTAGGAAACTGCTTTTAATTTAACTGCGTGTTTTTGCGTGTGAGTGGGAGGGTGTGTGTGTGACAATCGTTCCAAACATGCAACTTTTTGTCAAGTTTATTTATCCATGTCTCACCTGATTGCTGATGGAGATCATATGAGATGTTTATTATTATTTTCTCTAGTGTGCCACCGTGCGCCATGATGGTTTTTTTAGTTATTAGATTTTACCGAGACTCCATATTTACGCACGGATGTAAATATGTCTGTTGACATTTAAAAAAGAAGAATTTTAAACAATCATTCTCCAAATTGTTTCTGCAAACCGGGGTCCATAAATGCGTGTTGTCAAATGAATACAGAGATGGGGGGGCTCTCAGGCGGTCATTGTAGGCCCTAACCTCATTTCAGTTGGGTTTGGATTACTTTGTTTTGGGGAGATGGAGGGGGGGATAGAGGAGAGAATGTTGCCTTTCAAAATGGAGGGCAAATTAAGCAGTTAACCATTTTATTGGATAGTGGACACAAAGAGCGAAGCGCTGCCATGTTTAAGCCGCTGTTTGAGCCCATCAGGCCGCCGTCTTTTGTCCACTGGAGCTGAGGGGAGAAATGAAGCGTCACCTCCTTCAATTAGCCCTCTGAAGGTTTATTAAACGCACCTCAGCGGCCATTTAGGAGCGACAAAGCAAAGCAGCGGATCATTTATCGATTTAGATGTCTGTATTGATTATTCACAAATCCATTTAGAGGGAGTGTGTGAGCAGCTGATAATAGGCCCTTTATTTTTTTATTTTTTATTTTTTGAGAAATAAATGTTTCTTTAAAGAGTATCTATATTTTTTTGTTTACTTAACTCTTTTTTAAAATAATTATTTAATCTAAGCTTGCATTTTTTTTTCTCTTTGCGCCTCTTTACGCATGTTTGTGTTTCCTGCTCCCCTTTTTACGCACGGACCAATCTCAGCTTTATCTGCTGACACTGATCCGGCTTGTTTTCTTTTCTCTCCCTTCTGTCCTTTTCCTCCTCAGGTAAAAGTGTGGTTTCAGAACCGGAGGACGAAGTTCAAGCGGCAGAAGTTGGAGGAGGAGGGTTCGGAGTCTCAGCAGAAGAAAAAAGGCTCGCATCATATAAACCGCTGGAGACTGGCGACCAAACAGGCGAGCCCGGAGGAAATTGATGTCACCTCGGACGATTAAAAAAAAAGGGAAAGAAATATCCAAATGGGACTGACTTTCTCAGAACTGTCTGAATGAAGGAGGAAAGGATACAGGATGCGGGGCAGAGACTGGAAGGGGATCGGATGGAGAGAGGAACCGAGGCTGAGGCTGGTCCTGCTGCACGGAGCGGCTCTATTTGGTCCAAGAATCAGCCTCTCAGTCCGTCTACCTGAACCCACCCCCGCTCCACCACTACCAACCCTCACACCTCCACATAATTATCATTTTTATCCAATTCTTATTGGACGTTTGCACTTCAGAAGATTTTTTTTTCACACTCAAGAAACCAAAACACCAAACTGCTTTATTATTTTTTTTTGTAAAACTTTAAATGCATGGTTTAATATTCCCCCCCGTAGTTCTTTTAATTTGACTAAAGAGGGAAAAAAATAAGAAAAATAATTTTCTTTTTTTGTTTTTTTAACTATTTTCCAACAGAGAGATGTCGTGCTTCTTCCTTTCTACAAAGTGTGCAGTCTTTACTTAATGATTCTCGTGTAAAAGTGATTGTGAAAACATATGAAGTAGCGGTGTTTTCTTTTTTTTTCCAGACAGAAAAAAAACCAAACAAAATTTTTAATTATTTTTCTCTAAAAGATGAATCAGAGCGTAGAAGTGAAAAAGGAAGATATCAGGACGTTCCTTCAACCCAAAGCTTTACCAATACCGTGTCGCTCTGCAGCCTGCAGCAGGACTCTCAGTGAAGGACTAAAAAAAAAAAAAACAGAAAGGGAAAGGGAAAAAAACAAACAAACTTCAGGCACTGAACGTATTCCATGTACAGAAATGCTACAAAAATTCCTGTTTCTGTTCCCCTTTTACAGAATGTAAATATTTTTTGTGTTTGTGTTAAGTTTGCTACAATTTTAACACAAAGTATACTTCCAAGAAGTATGTAATTGTCAATATTTTGTCAATAAAGTTTTATCAGTATGTTGCGCGTAGAATTGGAGGACTTTTAATTAAACCGCGCAGCCGCAGGTGAGGCCTCCGATCAGGAAGTCGGGAAAAATGCGCAATAAATTTGGCGCAGACCTTTTTTTTCCACATCTTTGGAGCAAGGAAGCTGACCGACCGACTGCGCTGGTTTTATTTTTCGGGAGCGGCTGCAGAGTCCGCTTCGCTGCAGCTACAAAGAGGCCCCCTGTGCAAGGCTTTTGTGGAAGTGCAAATCAGTTTGGGCAATTATCATGCGGGTAATATGAGGGGGGAAAGGGGATGCATTGCCCAGTGGTCCACTTTAATCTCTTAATCCACGGATCCGAAGAGGAGGGGTGGGTTGGAGGAGGGGGGGGGCGGCTGGCTTGGACATAATTTAGTACAATCTGACGACGCGATAAGGGAAGGTTGCAATGCGCCGCAAAATGGGATCTTTGTCTGAAAAAGTCTCCTATCAGGACTGCTGCCTGGGACTCAACTGGAAGCTTTCTTTTTCATTTGCTAAAGCAAGAAAATGTTCATATAAATTAAACAAAACTAAAATCAGGTTTAAAAATATATAAAAAAGCCGGATTATCAGATTTCTTTCCTTATTTTTTAGGGAAAACAAAGTTTAAAGTTTTAATGTTTTGCGTAATTGTTTCATAAATAGAAACGAGTCGCTTTTTATGCTTTGGATTTTTTTTTTAGGGACATAAAAGGAAATTCTTAAACGGCCAAAAAGATTATAACAGCAATAAAAATCTAGAGAGAGAACACCATTAGCTTTAGAGAGAGGAAAAAAAAAAACTAAAAGCTTTATTACAAACCCAGCTTTGAAATAGGGGGGATTAGAGGACTGAAAGGGTCCCACAATAGTTAGAAGAAAAGGTTTCATGCTAATGAGGTTAATGCCCTTTGTATCTCCGGACTCCACAACTTCATTACTCCTATCTCGGGCAACACGGAGCGGCTCAGAGCCTCACAATCCACTCGAGCTTTTCCCCACCCTGCCTATAAAGAAGGATTTGATAGCAGTCCTGTTCAAACTAGATAATTATATCTTTTCAAGTTGGAATTAAGATAAAGAAAGTGCAGTGGAGGCGGTGAGCCTTGATCCGCCGCAAACAAATTTGGCGCACAGCCCCCCTCCCCATCACCTTTGTGCGCCTGTTTGGACACACGGGACCCAGGATAGAGTCCTCATTAGATGGAGTCTGCTCAAATTTGATTAAACATATCTGATTCTCACCTGTTTTTTTTTTAATTAGGAGGCAGTTGATGAAAAAATAGCAAATTCTGAAGCTATTTTCACTTATTTTTATGTTTTCTAACCTTATATTTAAATGGGGAGAAAATATATATTTTAAGGTGATGAAATATTTCAGTTTGTTTAAACTAAAATGGCGACAAATATCTACAGTTCATGAAAACTTAAAAACAAATCAAAATGAAGAGAAAAATCTAAAGTTTAACATGTTTTTAGGGAAACTACACTGGAAAATTTTCTTAATTTAAGTGTATTTATTCATAATTTGAGTAGCTAAATGAGATAGTTTGCCAATGGAATTAGTATTTTTACTCTTAAATTAAGATAATTAGATAATATGCACTTGAATGCAATTGTGTTTTCTTATTTTAAGTGTAAATTGTTTTGTTTTATTAGCAAAATGTCTCTTTTACCTCCTGAATACAACAACAAACGCGCTTATATTAAGAAAAAATTACTTATCTAGTTTTGATTTTTTTTTTTTAACGGGGTTAAGATGAATCCAAGCAAACTTCAACTCAAGGAAACTCCTCAAAATAAGAATAAAAATAGAAAAGTTTTTACCAAGAATAATAAAAATAAAAAACTGGAATCAATATAAAACATTTTTTTATTTCTAAATGTCCAAATAGGGACCAAGAAAAATCTATAATGTACCTTTTCCATCTCCCGAGTTTTATATTATTTTCTCTCCAATTTAAGCTTCAATCTACAGTAATAATTAAACAATACAGAAATCAGTCATTTTGAGTTATTTATATAAAATAAATGTTTTTATTTTTTATTCCAAAAGTGGGTTCCAAGTTCTAACCCATCAAATAACAACAAAAACAATAAATCATACCATGTTTTTATTTTAAATGTCTAGTCAGGATAAGTCACTTTTTTAATTTACGGAAATTCTTTTTCTTTTTTAAATAAGCTTAATACATATAAAAGAGGTTTTTATTGATAGGGTTGCGTAAATTTTTAATTCTTGAACGTTTTTTACTCTTAAAAAAATAAATAAATAGAGATCAGGAAATGTTTTATTTCTTTGAGCGTAATTCTGGTATAAAAAATGAAATATGGAGCAGAAATGAAAGTGGAGTTTTTTAGTGGAGGTCCCACTCCCACGGGCTCGACCTTTGGTGATCCTTAACTCCCCGCACAGCATCCCGGTTTTATCCCCTCATCACCTCACCTCCTTTGGACATTTTGGAGCTGAAAAAGGCCCGCTGCATTAAACATTTAGTCCGCCATGTGAAATGATTATCCGTTCCAGAAAAGAGTAGTCGGGTCCTATCAAGTGACCCCACTGACCCAAAACCTCTAATCTGCAATTAGTAGGTATAATTACGTCCGCTGACACTGCTAATGTGAATAGTAGCCAAAGGAGGAATATAGGCGGAAGACAGAGCTGGTATCAGAGCTGGAAGTCAATAATTGATCGAGGTGAAGTCGCTTTAAGATCGGAGAAGTGGTTTTTCAAAGGCTGGCTTTAGGGACTTTAGTCAACATGCGCTCCATGGAGCGAACCTTTCTGGTTTTATCCCACTGATCCCATCAGTTAGGGGATCTAATTGAAGGGTGGCACCTGCAGGCCGGCCTGTCACCATCACAAAGACACGTCAGGTCTAACCTGATCTGTCCTGTTTCACAAATTGTCTCTGAAATAGATCCATGAAAGGGGAGATTCCTCCCCATACAGCTCCTCTGGCCCTGACATAAGGTGCAGCGACAAATATACAAGCCTAATGAGCAATTACCGTCCAATCACTCTCCAAATAGCTTACATAATAATGAATTAAACATCGCAGCTTCGGATTCAGTTTCCCCCTCTTTATTATTAACAACGCAGGGAGGGGCGCCGGAGGCTGCGCGATGCGCGCTCATGATTATGTTTTCCAAACGCAGCAACTTCTTCCACTTTAACATCGGCTGCAGTCAGCACTTATAAGAAACTCTGCCTGACACGAACTCATCTGCGCAGATGCGAAACGGCACATAGATGGATGTAGTATCTGTTTATTCCATGTTGGATTAGCAGGAATTCCCAATTTAAATGCGCGAGGACGAGGCGTTTTACGCACGGCGGCCTGCTGCGTTCAATGACCTGGAAAAAAATAAGTAGAGGTTAATTTAATGTGTTTAACAGCAAATCAGAACAAAAATACAAGTAAATGAGTAAAACTGAAGCATGTTATTCAAAAAAATAAACAATTAATTGCTGATTTATTTACAGTCTTTGGCTAAAACATGTTCAGCTTCAGTGTTTTCAGTCCTGCTTTGAACCAGCAGCTGCTGGACATTTTATTTTCAGGGAGATGGTTTTAAAGCTGAAACAAAACATCTTCTTCTGTTGTGGTTCTGGAGACTCTGAGGGGTCATAAAGTGTTCATACCAGACGTGCAACTCTGAGGCATATCTAAGCCCAAGACCATTCAGTATGCACCATCAACTCGGGTTAAACAATCTATCATTTACAAAGAGGGAGCCAGTGGTTTGAGCGCCGGTATGATCCAATTTCCTGCTGCTGGTCAGGATTAATGCGCATCCTGTACAATAAAAAAATATGAGTGTGTTATCTTCAAACGCAAATGTAAATAAAATCACATCAAGCTGTTTTAATAACCCATTAGAATGAATGAACTATGACAGTAAATATGATTCTTATTAGACCAACAATAACAGTGAGGAGTTTACTGAAAAATAACCCCAAACTGTTAGAATATAGTGTAAAAAATGACTTTAATCAACATGTTTGAGTAGAAATGATTAGTTCACACTTAAAAAAAAAAGGTACTTTAGTAAATTAC